CGTGAGGTTAGTGAAGGTGTCGTGGCAGCACCGAGGTGTGGAAGAGACGACATAAGAGTGTGAGGACACCATACATACCAGTTATTCGTTCTTGTTCGAGGATAGAGGTACATTCTTGTAGTCAAAAGTATTGTATTACTTGTTGCATATGCATGCAGTAAAGTGTGCACGAGAACGTGAATTTTGGGGACAAAATTTTTTTTAAGGGGAGAAGAATGTAAAATCTAGGTAAATTTGAACTTTTATGAAAAAAAGATAAAATAGTAATTTATCACAACGGTACGAGTTGAAAACTTGAATTTTTCTAAAATTTGGATGACGAAACAAACCTTATCATTGGATTCCTCTTGCGAAATCTAGTTACCCAGTCAATTTTCGTCGAATTTTGATCAGTCAATTTTTTTGTGTTTTACAAGGAGATCGAGTATCGCATGACCTAAAAACGAGATATGAAATAAAATTTAAAAATTTAAAAAATAATTTAAAGGAATTTCATATAAAAATATTTAGAACTTGAACCGGGACGAAATTTAATCGTTTCGGGATAAAATTGGACTTGAGAATGCAGGACGCATGGCGCAATGAGAGCCAAGAATTCCAAGGGGTATAAATAGGGGAGAAAATCAATTTTTCTCCCCAAAATTCTGCTAGGTTTCGTTGCAGAGAGGAAGAGAGGGAAAAAGAGAAAAACTCCAACTTTTCTCTACGATCTATAGAGTTCCTTTGGTCAGAATCCTTCGGGTCAAGTATTAAAGTTGATCTACACGACAAGGGCTACACTTTCATATCAAAAAGGACGAATTTCACCAAAATTTTTGAGACGAGATTTTGAAAAATCAAGGGTTTGATCTTGGGTTGTATTCTTGAAGGTTCTACTGTTGCTTTTACGCTTCAAGAGGTAGAGTTTTCTCCCTAATTAGGCTTATTTCCAACCTAGGAGGATTATATGGAATGAGTAGGGTGTTAGAGGTATATAATACTTATCTATTGTTGTTAATTTGATGAAATGAGTATTGAAAATGGGTAAAATCATTTCTAGCTTAAATTGGTATTTAAAAATTGCTAGCTTGTAATTTTTTTGAAAAATTGTGATATGTGGGCATACTATGTGTTTATATTATGCCTTGGAGAATTAAGTGTGTTAATTGCATGAGATTATGTGATAATATGGTTGAAAATTATTATTGGGTATAAGGTTGATATATGCTTGGTGATGTATTGACATTAAGATGATTTATAGTAATTATACGCATATGATATAATTGACCATGAAATATGTTGAAATGTGATTGAAATGGTTCATATGACACTCATAACATATTGAACATGAAATTAGTGTGGCAATTGTACATTTACATTGCATATGAAGGGTTAGAATCACATTTGTGGGTGTTTGACATGAGTGTGAGTGTGTGTGAATGGTTAATCAAACACCATTCTTGGTGAATGATTCGTGGGTTTGGGATAATTGGACCAAGGTTTGACTGAGTCGCACGGTTTACATTGAAAATTAGGTCGATGTTAGTAAGAAGGGCTAGATTATCCCTCGGGTGCAAGACTCGGTGATTCGGATATGCATGCTGTTGGTATTGAGTCCATAAAGTGTGTCGGCGTACACATAGCCGTTACTGGAAGTCTATTAATGCTGTGTTGGTTGGGTGTACATTGGTGTGAGTCCATAAATACCCACCCCAAGAAAGACCCCAGAGATTTTAAATAGTCATTGGATGTGTAACATCAATGGCGGGGGCTTGGAATACCCAAAGATCATACACATGGCATTTTCATGTGTTGAGAAAGCCGTTGAAGGCTCGGGTTGAAGTGCATGAGTGAGTCTCATCTCATTACATGACATGACATAGCATGATAATTTCTAACATTGAATTGTGTAATCTTGATTGAAATGTTTGTTGCTTGTTGAATGTTGCGTGTGAACATTTCATATGCACTTAGGTTGGGGAGTAGCCTCTTTAAAAGATACCCTATTGAGCGTAACTCATCTTTTATGGGGACAACATTTCAAGTGCGGGATATGCGCCGGTGGACGGCTCTTAATCGGGCTGTCATGATTGAAAAAAAGCCGAGATGTGACTTTTAAAACATGTTTTGTAAAAACGTTTATGTTATTTAGTTTTGGGTATGTGATATTGTAAAGGATTGTAAAGTAAATTGTATTTTGCTTAAAATTGATGTTATATGAGTTTGATATGATGTTGTATAAGTTTGGAATGAATTGGAATTGAAAAAGGAAGGAATCGTAGAAAAACTGGTAAGACCTACCAATAGAATGACGAGTTCTTCTACCGGTAGAACTTTTCCAGTAGGTTAAGCTTACTGGTAGAACTTTTTCAAAAGGTTTTTCTACCATTAGAACTTTTTCAGAAGGTTTTCCTACCGGTAGAACATGGTCATCTTCTACTGGTAAGTTTTCCTGAAATTTCAAATTCTAAGAAAACTTTTGTTATGCTTTCGGGTCTTGGATTTTTTTGTTTAAATGATACAAATGGACAATAAATGAGAGTAAATTGATGTATATTGGACATTGGATGAGTCATGTGATTGAATGATATATAGGTTATGTGTTTGGTAGTGTCCGGTACAAGGGAGACTTTACCCAAACTTTGTGTTGTTGTGATCCCAGTAAAGGAAATGTTGTGCCATGATGTCGGATTATGCAACATTCACAGAAATTTCTACGGGTTTATGGGTGATCAACGAGTTCAAAAATGACCCTTGGTTTTAAGAGCATCACAACTATCACAACCCACCACCACCTGTTGTCGCTAGCCACTGTCACCCATTCCTACCACACCTACCACCACCAACCCACCACTTCCCGTCGTCGTCCACCATTGTCGCCAACCATTATCGCCCACTCCCACCACACCTACCATCACTGCTATTCGCCACCATCCATCATACTGTCACCCATAAGCACCCATCGTCACTTACCACCACCATTATCACCGCCCACTACCACTATTGTTGCCCCCACCACCTCCACCACCAACCACCATCATCGTCGCGCACCACCACCACCGCTTGTCACCCACCATCACCGTCACCGCTATCACCCACCACCATCACCACCCATGGATGTCATTGCCACCATCGTCACCAAAAACACATCATCACCATCACCGTTGCCATTCACCACAACTATTACCGTTTTCCATCACCACCACCACCACTGTCACCCACCACCACCACCACTATAACCGATGTTTAAATTTCTTTCTCTCTCATTTATATTTGTGATTTAATTTTGGATATGAATATAATTATGTTTATTATTGACTATTTTTTTTATTACTCTGTGCCTTCAAACAGGGGCAATAACTAATATATAAATAAAGTGCCGATTTTTATATCATACTAGATTGTTAAGTATAATTTACCCAAAAGATAAAGACATGTCATTAGCTAGCTAGTCCAGTGGTGAAAATTATGTTTTTTTTTAATATATAACGGGAAATCATTAGTTTTTTTTTCTTGTATTTTTGGGAGAGGAACTTGAACTTTTGACCTTAATGTTTTCATAAGGTAAGGAGTACTATTGAACCACAGACTCATTGGTAACGAAAAATTCTGAAAGCCCACCGAGTAAATATTCAGTGCGATAGTAACACCATATTATCAATATTACGTGTTGTCACTATTCAATAAAAATGTAATAAAAAGTAGATCTTATTTGTTTATATGAGATAATTACCGAATAACATGGAGCGGGTGATTACTAAATATGTAGGATTTTGTTTCTCACTTGTTATGTTCTTATAAGATTGTGACACCACATGACGACGATGACGTGGTGTCACAGTTCTAATAAATATTTTCTCATCAATCATATATTAATCACAAGTATTGATAAGAATTGAGTCATAAAAAATTCTCGCATCTAAAATATTTGAGATTACAATTCATTCTAAATTCAACCCCACATTATGGGCTAGTGGTGGAGCTAGATTGTTTGCTGAGGGGAGTGACGCAATAAGGAACTTGTAGTTGAATAAAACATAATAAAATCAACGTTCATACGATACATTGTAGTATTATTTATTTTTAGTAAAATTAAGAAAATTAAAATAAACTTATCATACTAAGTAAATGTAATAAAGTTCAAATCAATTCATCAAAAAATCAACAATTTAAACTTAATTTTATAATCACCTAAGGAAAACTAACTTTCATTATATCTCTGCAAATTATAAAAAGTCAAATAAAAAAGAAAAGAAAGGATGTGTAGATCTCCCAATTATACATATTTTATATGACATTGAATCGTATATATGTAGAGTTTGTGTAAATTATACTTTATCAAGTAAAACTATGACCCCAATAACAATTTATTCATCAACTATTGGTTTAAACATGTTGGAACCAAAAAAATATTCTAGTAGATTATTTGTCTTAAATTTAACAACTTAGGCAACATTAAATTTAGCAAGTTATACAAAAAATACAAATTAGAGTAATTAATGTTGCAAATCATTCAAATCAGTAATCAAGAGATAAAGAAAATCATGATCATGATCATTATCTATATCCAAATAAAATAAAATAAAAAATATAAGCTCAAAGTATAAAGAGTAATTTTAAAAATTTGGAAGGGGAGACTAACATAATTTTAAAGGTAATTATGGAAACTTGAGGGGGGCCATGGGCATAACATGGAGGGGGCATAAACATGACAGTGGTTTCTTTCCCTGTACCGCTGGGCTGGTCTTTGGCTCGCAGTTAACCGTAACGCTTAAGCATATCACTTGGACAAGCAAAGTTAGCCAGCAATTAAAATCCTATTCTACACAGCTAAGAACAAACTTCAATACCAAATCTTTGTTAACTGATATTTTTCTCATTGGTCAGCCATTTTCTACAACTACCCCGCCACCAGCTGACAAGTAACAATAGCAGACGACGACTTTCTGTACCTGCCACCTCCTCCTTCTTTTCCATACATAAATATATATGCTATACACATACAAATAATCCCAACACAGAGAGATAGAGATAGAGATAGAGAGAGATGGGTTGTGGGAATTTCTTCTTCACCCTTGTGATAACCTTCTCAGCAGCTCTCATCACATACAACATAATCATCTCAGCCAATGCATCTCTCAAACAAGACTTCCCTGGTCCATCAATCCTATCAACATCAAAAGGGTCGATCTCAGTTGACCCAATAATCAAGATGCCAGTGGATAGATCGAAAACCAGTTCATCCAAAGGGAAGAGATTGTTCCACACAGCAGTCACATCATCTGACTCAATCTACAATACATGGCAGTGTAGGATCATGTACTACTGGTTCAAGAAGTTCAAAGATGGACCCAATTCTGAGATGGGTGGGTTCACAAGGATACTGCACTCTGGCAAGCCTGACAAGTTCATGGGTGAGATCCCCACCTTTGTTGCTCAGCCACTTCCAGCTGGAACGGATCAGGTATTGGTTATGTTCCTGGATTTCTTTTAGTTGTTTCAATTTCGTTCTTGAGCATTGAAATTCAGATGAATTTTTGCTATAGTTCACCATCTTAGGAAACTGTTGTTATGTGTTTGTGTATATGTTTGAATCACCGCAAATTGGCAGAACTTGAGAAGCTCTAGCACAAAATCAACTGAGTATCAATCTTTTTTTTTTGGGTTTCCTTGGTTTTTTGCATTTTCACAATTGATGCTGTTGAAATTGTTGAAAACTTCGAAAGGGTTCTTAGGAGAACATCAATTTATATTTCGATATCAAGTCAAAGGCTGTGTTTGTTACCGTACAAATCAGGGTATATTTTCGCTGAGTTAAAATTTCTTTGGGTACCAAATGGTGGGTACACAGTACACACTATTAGTGTGCACAATGTCGTGCCAGTTACATTATTTGTAAGGGAGTGCCGTGAGAAAGCAGTAATTTTTTGGAATTGAAATGAAAGATATACCCGGGTAACATCTGCAATTATGATTCCGCATAGAAGCTAACATTATCGCGGGTGTATTATTGTCGAAGCCATAATTTTTATATGAGGAGGAGAAGGTGGTATGGTAAACCCAAGATTCCCACCGATCGATTTCAGAGTTTTCAACCACTGAACTTGCTTATGTTCCCCTTTGATCGAGTGCTATTTCTATAATCAATATTGAGTAAGAAAATCTTGAATTGGCTTCAATCGAGATTGCCTTAGCTTCTTAGGCACATGAGGAACCGGCCTAACATCTTTTCAACTGAAATTCCAATCAAAGACAAGTTCTGGAGTGCCTGCCAAGGGTAATGCATACCCCGGGGTGATCATCATCACCTGCACCTCACATCTCAGCACAGTGGAACATGTAACTGCCTTCTATTCTATTCAATTACATTTGTTCCTGTAATCCATAGTTTAACAGAACGCAACAGCAAGGGACAAACCGCCCATACAACCAGCGAGGAGGATGGCACTACTTGCAAAGACCATTTTGCGAAAACGTCGCAGGCGTGAGGCATGGTAGGCTTGTACCGGGGGAGCATAGCATAGGGGAGAAAGGGAGCCCGGACAGTGAAAGAGCCAAGGGAGGCCAGGTCATTTGACGGAAATGGGATAGATAGAGAAATATTCTTGGTCAAACAAATGCAAATTTTCTTTGGGTGAAATCATTAAAGAAATACTGTTACATTCTATTTATATTTTATAAGTGAATGCATAAGTGTAAAATATATAGGAGAAGTGGATAATCTTGGTACTGGTCCAAGACTACTAAAGGAATCTCAATCTTCTGTTTGTCACAACATAAGAAGCGTTTGCAGATAATACAAAGCATGGCAGCTGCTGTAGTAGTTGCACTTTCGAAGCTTGTAGAAAAGAATACCATGCATTGATGGGTGATGAGGACCCATACTGATTGATTTTGTTGCATTCCCCAAAGATGCCAGACATTATCATTGGCTATGTAGTTTATATGAACTCGTAAGGGTTTCTTAGGTATTTACTCCCTCAAAGGACTTAGAAGCCTTCATCTTTGGACGAAACTAATGTAGACTGGTTGAATTTGGAAAGTCTCCCTAATTGTGAGGAAGAAAATGATCATGTACTGGATTATGTAATTGCACCTGTTTTTGCTGATTATGGCAGTAATTACTGGTTCGTTTACTGCATAACCTAATTTCCCTCGTTATCTCATTTTTGCAAATTGTAATTGCAGGGGTATATAGTCCTCAATAGGCCTTGGGCGTTTGTGCAATGGCTTCAACAAGCAGACATTAAAGAAGAGTACGGGAACCGTTAATATGTAGTTTAAGGTCATCATGACTTGATTTCTGCACTTCAGTACAATTCTGTATTCTGACAACACTTCCCCCCTGGTGTGCAGCTACATATTGATGGCAGAGCCAGATCATATTATTGTCAAGCCCATACCAAACTTATCTAGAGATGGCCTTGGAGCTGCATTCCCTTTCTTTTACATTGAACCTAAAAAGTATGAGTCCGTCCTTAGAAAGTTTTTTCCTGAGGAAAAGGGACCAATAAGCAGCATTGATCCAATAGGAAATTCTCCTGTTATCGTAGGAAAGGTACTTTATATGCCTTCTATGAGGATTATTAGTGGAAATTGTATCCTCTTCTCTTTGCTAGTGATTTCGGCACGCTCTTATTTTTCTGAAATTGTGTTAGGAGTCTTTGAAAAACATAGCTCCCACTTGGATGAATATATCCTTGGCAATGAAGAAAGATCCTGTAACTGATAAAGCTTTCGGTTGGGTCCTTGAGATGTAATTAGCCTACACTCTATTAACCTTCATTGTAAGTTTTCATCTCTGTAATTTTTTTTATCCTAACTATGTGTAGGTATGCTTATGCCGTTTCATCTGCTTTGCATGGCGTGGGTAACATCTTATACAAGGACTTCATGATTCAGGTTTGGTAAATTGATTATTTATTCATTTCTTATTTCCTTGGGCATAGTAAGATACCAATGGGAATTTACAGAACATGGTCATTACAGGAAATATGAACTGCATCTGGGTCTAGTACCCAGACATAGCACCCAAACAGAATTTATGGATTGTTTTGAAGGCCCCTCTATGCAACCTTTTATTCAGTGTAGCATGATTTGTTCACGGCATATAATGAAAAAAACTAATTATATGGTTTTTGGAAAATGAATAATTAAGTAAACATTTGCCAGAGTAAACCAAGATTGTAGCCAGACTTCACACTAGCACACCCCACTCCTAACTCATAAGAAATCAAGCCCAAAACAAAGGCTAGCGAGTTGTGACAGTAAGCTATTTCTATTTCATCTTTGATTCCGTACTACTTTCGGTATTTTTAACTTCGTGGTTTCTTTGGTGAAGTTTTCATAAAACATTCATGGTATTTTCCCTTTCAAGCCACAACTCCATAATTGCCAAGTCGTGATTGGTATCTGTCGGGTTGAGTAATCTAACCATCCCTTTGATTAAAATTTTGTAAGCATCTTGTCAAATAAACCAAAGAAAGCCTAGTCCCAATTATGTTGGGTTGGCTAGATGAATCATTTATAGTACAAATGCAAACTTAATCTGTTGATAATTAAGTGCTCTTCATTATGTGTTCTATGTGAAACTACATCATTTTTTGCTCTCTCACTCCATGGTAATTTTGGTCCACCCCTTCCTCCAGCAATTCCACTAATTGTAATCATGTTATTCTTCCACATTGATGCACTTATTGTCTTCATTATACATGCCTAAATCATATTAATTGGTTCTCTTGTAATTAATCTTTAGTTAGTACTTCTCTATCATCTTCTGAACGCAATTATTTCTGCTTCTATCTTTTCTTATGTTATCAGACATCCATCTTAACATATTTCTTCTGACTATTCTCGTTTTATGAACATGTTACTTTGTTGCCCAACAATTTGTCTCATAAGCATATTAGCTTAAGAACTATTAATAAAAAATTTCCTTTCAGTTTCACCAGTTTCATTGCTACCCGTAGAACGAATAATATGCTAGAGGCACTTTTCTGATTTAATTAGGCTACTATAATTAGGAGCAGCCTCTGAATAATGAACTATTCACTCTTTAGCGTCTCTTGGTTTTCAATATTCACTGCTCTTCATGTCTACTTTGAACCGATATCCAATTTGTAAACGTCATACATTATATAAATTCATTTTGAATGTGTGTAGTCAATTCGTCTATAACTGGAAAAAATATGAGGGCTAAAGATTGATTTTTAATGTAATCCTACGATGATTGGATTTCACTTATATCACCTGCTACTGATATTATTGAAGTCACAACCCTACAATACATGACTTTTATCATCAATGTATCTATTTGTAAAGCCTTTTTCCCTCTTAAATCCACCAAATAATCTCTGGAAACTGTATCCTAAGACTTTTCCAAAATTCAAAAAAGCAAATTAACATTTTTCTTCTCCTCTCTTTCTTTTCTATTAATCCCCTTTTAACAATATTGCTTCCATGGTTGAGGACCTAGCCGTAAATCCAAACTGATTCTATGAAAATATTGTATCAATTCTTGGTCGATGCTCAATCACTCTCTATTTCAGCATCTTTTCCCACTGTTTATTGTTGGTGAAGTTTCTAAAAACACTTTAGGGAGGTATGTAAGACAAAAAAAGGTGTGAGATGTCATATTGAGTATAATGTATACGAAATGTTGCCATGGCTTGCTGGTTTTTAAGTTATTTATGATCTTTGTTTGTACTTACTACCTACTCTTAAATTGGCTATCTTGACAGCTGCGGGTAAAATACGATTGCTATACTAAGTGTTTGTTTGAATCTATTGTTATGTGTTACTACATCATGTGTGACCTATGATAAACATGCTAAGGATTTGTTGTTCAAGGTTAGTACAGCGTTGATTGCTTGGACTTTGCATCACCAGCTTGTCTACAAGAAAGTTGCTTATGGCCTTTGATTGGTGTAATAGCTGTCCATGTACATACAGAATTCTGTTATGATGTCGCTCACAAACTTATGGTTACCTGTTTTGTGATGACGCCAGCCTCCTTGGGACACAGAAATTGGCAAAAAGTTCATTATTCATTACACTTATGGATGCGACTATGATATGAAGGTATTTTGTTGGCCAAGTTCTTGAAGGTTTGAGATTTTGAAGTTTTACATTAGATTTCAGTAAAAAGAAAACATACTTTTTAATTTTCCACAATGAAAAATTGTTTTTTTGTTTTGTTGTTTTTTTTTTTTTTGGGGGGGGGGGGGGTGGTGTTTGAGGACCCATTTCTTTTTTGGTTATTCTCAGGTTAGGGTGTCATTATTTCATCTTGTGATATTCAGGGAAAGTTGACCTACGGAAAGATTGGAGAATGGAGATTCGACAAAAGATCTTATGATAATGTCTGGCCCCAAGAAATCTTTCACTGCCTCCACCTGGTGTCCCAGAAAGTGTGGTATGATTCCATCACATTGTAGTGCTAGCTTTTTAATGCTTAATTTGTTTACAAAGAGAGTACATTACTTTCAAAAATGATCATTTTTCCATGAATGAAACTTGATATTTACCTGTTTCACTTTTGTCTTTATTGGTAAGTCTAGTCTCCTTAATTGGCGCAACCTACGTGTTGGACTTAAGAGTTGATTTGTTAATATTGGTCCAGCACAAAAATGTTATCATCAGAGCACCATTATTATTGTCAAGACAAAGCAGCTTTAAGAAAGCACCAATTAAGGATTTTTGTATTCCAAATCCAACGTGGATATATAGTATTATTTACATCAGCAGAACATTTGTGCAATTTGCCACTATCAAGATTAATACTCTTTTTGTGGCATACTTCTGAAATTAGAGTACCAAAAGCAGCATGTGAAGGGCAGGCGGGTGTAGTGGTGGATTTTGGTGGATGTCTTTTAATTTGTGGGGTTTGGCAACAGGGTGCCTCATACAGTTAATTTTTAGTGTATGACAATATATAAAATGTATCACTACAATGTCCTAAGGCTAAATGGTTTGGCCTACAAGAACAGTTTGGACCCTGTTTAAATACTTGTTCTTGTGCCTCTTTTACCGTTCATGATTTTATTCTCCTGGTTAAATATTGACCTGAATAATACCGTAAATTCTTCAGTTTCTGTTTATATGTACAATATTCACACAAAATGGATTCCTCTGCAAAATCTCAACATTTGAATAGAACCAAAATGGTGATGGATTAATATCATTTTTTGACATTATTTTGGTCTTTTTTTTTGTGCATCATACTGGAACTTGGAAGTGCTTAGGATTTAATTTATGTATTTAGCTTTTTAATTGCTTTTGAGCAAACTAGTGATGGATTGGCATTGGTTCGAATCATCTTTTGACATTATTAGCCTGTGTTGTTGTTGTTGTTGTTGTTGTGCATCGTCTTGGTAGTACTTAGCAGGAAAAGGACAAAAAAATGGAAATTTAATGATCTAATTTTTATTAGCTCTATGTTGCTTTTGGTCATGACACTGAAAGCCAAGTAGTGATGCCATACTCGCCTTTTTAAGATTTATAACTCAAGTTTCAACGTGGCAGGTTACTCTGGTGAAAATGGTGAATGAAGCCACAGCTAATATTCCGAACTGGGGTCCTAAATTGAGTTTTTCGGAGAAACTCCTGTATGTGCAGTGCTAACAAGGTGGATGATGAAGGTATAGGCGCTTTATAGTCAAACAAATGTTTTTCGCGAGACAAAAATTTCGAAATTGCCACCTGTTTTTCTGCTTTGAAGACTTGCTTAGACAACCCAGGTGGTGGGTTAGAAAGTGCAAAACTTGCTGCAATTGGGTTGTCTACCTATCTTGATTTCCTTTTATCTCCCTGCACAACTGTAGCATATGTCCTATATTCTACATATAGAAGTGTGTTAGCTTATGAGGCATGTAATCATAGAGAAACCTGATGGCAAGACCTCATGTTTTCTTCCTCCAGCATGAAATTTTTATTATAAATCACCTTGAAGTTCAATCATTTTACCATTAAAATTTCCTGCCAGATTTGGATGTATTGTACTGTTGGATTATGGGCCTATGGTTGGACCTTAATTATCATTATTTTATAAAGTGAAAATTGAGAGTGAGTCTCCTTAAATGTATTTGTTTGGAGATAAGTCCTGTAAGGAAATTATAAGGGGTTAAGTCCATGTTTAAAATTATATGTAATGACTTAAGTCCATTTTTTTTTTATCTCAAAACTACCCTTCTTTTAAAGGAAGTTAATCTTTTTTCTTCATATCTATCTAAATCTATATATGATATATGAGTTAAGAGTTTGACTAACATTAAAATTTTCTCTCTTCTATATATATATATATATATATATAGAACATTAAAAATAAAAAAAAATAGTGACATTCAAATAAAAAAAAAAAAATTACTATAAATTTGAATAGTAAAATTCAAATTCATATTACTATTTTTTTTTATTATATTACTGTTCATGTTACTGCTTTTGTTAAGTATGTTACTGTTCATGTTACTATTTTTGTTGAGCATGTTACTACTATTATTTTTCTAAATATTAATATTTAATACAATTTTTTTTTTAATATTACTATTTTTTGTATTTGAATGGTACTATTTTTTGCGTTTGAATTTGAGAGAAATAATTATTGTTAATTATGTTACAATTTTGTTAAGCATATCACTAATTTTGTTGAACATGTTAATATTTTTGTTGAACATGTTATTGTTGTTATTTTTTTAAAATATTAATTGAATGTTTCAATTTTTTTTATGTTTAAATGTATTATTTTTTGTGTTCAAATGATAACTTTTTTTTGTATTTAAATGTTACTATTTTATTTTTGTTTTTAATGTTACTATATATATTTATATACACCTAACCTATATATGGATATAGATAGATAAGAAATTTTTTTTTTTAATATTAGTCAAGCTCTAAGCCTATATATGAATATAGATAGATATAAGAGAGAAAATATTTTAATGTTAGTCAAATTCCTAAAATTTAGGAATTTTTAATTTTAATTTTATTTCACTTCTAAATGGAAGAGATAGTATGATAAAATTGATAAAAAACAGACTTCATAACAAATAAGTTTTCTTGACGGATTTAAGTTCAAATAAGTTTATATAGGAGATCGATCTCCAAATTTTTCTGTTATAAATTATGTTGTGAGTGGCGGCAACAGTGGTGGTTGGGTGGGTCAGTACTTGTATGTTGGACTTGTGGGTAGTGAGTGCGAGAGAGGATCGATAGGATGTAGAAAAAGGGGGAGCATTTGCATACAAGATTAATTCGGCTGCAACTATGCATTTATTGTGTTTTTTTTTTTTTTTTTTT